TGTGAGTTTAAGCCACCAGGTCTGGGACTCAAACCGTGGTCAACTACATATATGGGAGTCCAGTGACATAGCCATAGACACCAACTGCTGGTCTCAGTGCCACACTTTTTCAATCCATACATCTGTTTGTGGACATTTGGGTTGGTTCCATGTCTTAGCAATTGTGAATAATAGTGCAATAAACATTGATGTGCAAGCACTTTTCTGACTGAGCAATCTCCTGTCCTTTGTGTAGATATCTATAAGTGGGATTGCATCTGGTAGTTCTATTTATAGATCTTTGAGGAACCTCCATGTTATTTTCTACAGTGGCTCGACCAATTTACATTCCACCAACAGTGTAGGAGGGTTCCCCTTTCATCACAACCCTGCCAACACTTAATCACTTTTTGTATTTTTAATCTTTGCCATTCTGACAGGGGCTAGGTGGTATCTCATTGTGGTTTTAATCTACCTCTTATGATGAGAGATGTTGAACATTTCCTCATATGTTTTTTGGCTACTTGTATGTCTTCTTTAGAGAGATTTTTGTTCAGCTCATTTTCCCATCTTTTAATTGTGTTAATCATTTTTTTCAGGTAAACTGCTCGAGGTCCCTATGTATTCTGTTTATCAGTCCCTTATCTGAGGCATAGTTTACAGAAAGATTCTCCCATTCTGAGGGTTGTCTATTCACACCAATTACTGTGTCCTTTGCTGTGCAGAAACTTCTTAATCTGATATAGCCCCACTTGGCTATTTTAGGGATTATTGCCTGTGCTTTGAGAGTCTTATTTAAGAAGTTTTTGCCTACCCCAATGTCTCCCAGAGTTTCTCCAGGATTTTCCACCAGTAGTTTTATAGTTTGAAGTCTTAGATTCAGATCTTTGATTCATTTTAAGTTGATTTTTGTTAATGGTAAAAGATAGGGATTCAGTTTAATCTTTCTGCAGGTAGATATCCAGTTTTTCCAGCACCATTTGCTAAAGAGGTTTTCCTTTTCCCACTGGATTGACTGAATCAGTTGGCTGTAAATTTGGGGGTTTATTTCTGGAGTCTCTATTCTATTCCATTGGTCTACCTGCCTGTTTTTGTGCCAATACCATGCTATTTTGATTATCACAGCTTTATAGTATATTTTAGGGGTCAGGGAGTGAGATACCACCCACTCCACTCATCTTACACAGGATTGCTTTGGCAATACGAAGTCTTTTATGATTCCAGACAAATTCTATGATTATCTTTTCTAGATCTGTAAAGAATATCTCTGGTATTTTGATTGGAATTGTGTTAAATATATAGATTAATTTGGGTAAAATTGCCATTTTGATTATATTAATTCTTCCAATCCAGGAACTTGGGATATCCTTTCACTTTTTTTGTGTCATTTTCAATATCTTTTTAAAGATTTTCATAGTTTTCTTTGTAAAGTTCTTTGACTTCCTTAGTTAGGTTTATCCCTAGGTATCTTATACATTTTGTGGCTATCGTAAAAAGAATTCCTTTCTTCAGATCTACCTCTTTCAACTTGTTCGTGTATAGAAATGCCATAGGTTTGTGGATGTTGATTTTGTATCCTGCCACTTTATTGTACTCATTTATTAAATCAAGGAGTTTTTTTTTTTTTCATGGAAATCTTTGGTCTTCTAAATATATCATCATGTCATCTACAAATAAAGATATTTTCAAGTCTTCTTTACCTACTTGAATGCCTTTTATATTATTCTCTTTTCTGAATACATTGGCTAAGACTTCCAGCACTATATTGAAAAGCAGTGGAGAAAATGGTCAGCCTTGTCTAGTACCAGGCTTTAGTGGAAAAAAAATTAGCTTTTCCCTATTCAGTATAATGTTAGCTATAGTTTCTTCATATATGACTTCTTTGTGTTGAGAAATGACCCTTCTATACCAATCTTGCTGAGAGTCTTAATCATGAAGAGATGTTGTATTTTATCAAATGCTTTCTCTGCATGATTTGAAATGATCATGGGGTTTTTAACCTCTCTTTCTATTAATATGATGTATTATGTTTATGGCCTTGCATATGTTGAACCACCCTTGCATCCCTGGAATAAAGCCTACCTGATCATGATACTTAATCTTTTTCAAATGTTGCTAGATAGGATTTACAAGTATCTTGTTGAGAATTTTTGCATCTATATTCATCAGAGATATCGGTCTGTAGTTTTCCTTTTGTCATGTCTTATCTTTTTGGGAAATTAGGATGATGGAAACTTTATAAAATGAATTTGGGACATTTCTTTTGGATCTTTAGAAATAATTTCAGTAGAATAGGGGTTAACTCTCCCTTAAAAGTTTTATAGAATTCAGAAGTGAAGCCATCAGGACCTGGGCTTTTCTTTATTAGAGGTTATTTATTACTTTTTCAATCTCATGGTTTGTTATGGGTCTATTCAGATTTGCTATGTCCTCCTGATTTAATCTTGGTAGATTACATGCATCCAGGAATCTGTCCATCTCCTCCATGTTCTCTTGTTTGTTGGCATATAGTTGCTCA